AGCTCTCACTGCAGCATGAGCAGCATCTAAGTAGCCTGGACATGTCACAGAACCTAACAAACTCTTTTACTGTACACCGATGTTTGATGTTGTCTGGACGTCACTTGGCATCAGACATTAAAGCTCTCGGGGCCGCAGCATCAACCTGCAGGAATCACTCCTCCTGACGGCAGCTTTATTACTTCACCTTCATCTCTCATCACCCTCGCACACGCAATGACCTGGAAATCCTCTCCTGTGCTGCCCCAAATATGCTCAAACTGATTTAAACTTCACTTTAGAGTTGTTGTTTTTTTTCCATTTGCTTTTCTTTTGTGCTCCAGCTGATATTGATTTCTCTGGTCTTGTGTGGCTTTTCATCACTCCTCTGTGATCTCTTCTTTTATTCTCCTCTGCTCGTAGTTTTTATCCTTTGATATGTGATCCAAATGAAACTGGCTTTGGGTTTACAGAAGCTGCTTCCAAATACTTAAAACCATGGTCTTCATTCCACACCTGTAACCTCACAACCTTTGGTTACTGTTATGTAATCCATACTCATGAAGAAATTGTGCAAGTATTTCCTTTTTTTATTTAAGTACAAGATGTCTGTGGTTCAAAGCAGGTTTGTAAAACTGTGACGCTTTGGTCTTGAGTATTTTTGGAACTCAGAGCAGAGCTCCGGGTTGAAAATGTTCAGTCAAGCTATAAGCTAAGTTGTAGTAAATAAGCTGAATGCATGAACACCAATTTTATCACTTCAACTGGAAAACATGTGGGGTCTCTCTCTGATGACCCCTTTCACCCCTACTTAATGTGCAAAATGGTTTAGTCCACCCAGCGCAACTTCACAGGATCAATCTCACTGCAGTTTAGTGCCAAATGCTGCAACACTGTGGGGGTACGTCTCAGTTCCCTTAATTGCATCCATGCATCCTCCACTTGCCTCCTCCACTTGCCTCCCACCAGAGATATATGGAGAGATGCAAGGAAATGAAGCAGAAGGAGAGGAAACGAGGACATATGAGATGTCCTTTCCAACAAAACGGCACATGAAGCAACGTCCGTTTGCAACGATGACATCATGATCAGCACTCAGCTGTCAGTCGGCTTTAACAGCTGTTTATGTTTGTAAAATACGAACTGTATTGTTCCAAATCTCCCCCAAGAAAGCAAAGTCAGGCTTTCAAAAAGAACAAATGAGAAAACCAGGAGAGGGAAATTGTTTTAACTAGTTTCTTTCATAAGAAATGTGAATTTAATAACGGATTAAATGAAGCCAGTGTGCTAATTTGGCCATAATCACAGTGGTGCTTAGTGCAGATATGTTGATTAATGTGCACTGCGCTAATTTAATCAAAATTCACATCGTCTGTACTTGTATGTCAATCTGTTTTCTATAAATATATCAGCTGTCTGTCCTGTTTGAATCAGTGCCAGGTCGTCCTGCTGTTTGTCCGGCCTCTCTCTGGCTGAGTTCACGCTTTACAAGGGCACATCAGAGCCTCCAAACTCACTGAACCACAAAGCCATCTGGCTCCATCTGATCCACAAAAGAAGTGACCAATCTGATGCCATTTACACGGATGTATAATGCCCTAAATCAGACGAGGAACCCAAACAACGTGTTAGGGTCATTTAACAGGGAAAGGCAGCAGGCAGCCTCAGGTCTGCAGACGCCAGCTTGGGACTGGGAGGTCAGGACTTAAATCCTCAGATCCACTGAAGGATAAAAAAAAAAAAGGAACATGGAGGGTGGATGAGTGAAGCTCCCCATCCCTGAGAAACTTCTGGCATGTTTTCCCCTGACTGAAGTGTATACCTGCAGGACTGATCCGCCAGAAAGTCAGACCTTGAGGAGTCATGTTTGACTGATAATCCATGTAAACAATGTGGATAGTTTATGGAGAAAGGGGATAAAGAAAAGATCTTGCAGCTTTGTAGCCTTATATAAGGAACCCTGAGTGGACATGCATCTGTACATTTTATCAACTAAATTGTCTTGACTTATTTTTCTAGTTCTCTTGGGATAACAAACAAGTATTTACCAACAAGAAATTCAATAAAATAAGATAATACAATCACTTAAGGCTATCCAGAAAAGAAAATAGAATAAATAATTTGAATCATATGTAAAGGTTTATTATTTTTTAGTTTTTCTGAGGGTCAGAGATTGGCTCATTCTTTATCCAAACACATTTATACTGCAGTTTTAACTTTAAAAAAAAAAAAAAAGCGAACAATGACAATATTTCTATTTTAAGCCCGTAATGAGCCCCTCCCCCTGTTCAGGCCTGGAGTCTTCAGTCCCACTTCCTCCCCACCCCACAGTGACACCCTTGCATGGCACCCGTGAAGTTTTCATGACAGCCTACCCGGAAATCTTCCTCACTTACTTGTTCCCATATTCACCTCACAGCAGGAGATATTCCCTGTTGGAATGGATGGCGGGGTCTCAGGAGGCGGGACATCTTTCAAATCCATTTCCCAGTGCATGTGATGAAAATATTTTGGTGTCTTGAGCTTTGCAGCGTCGCACCGTTTTTCACGCTGCATCGCTGTTTGTTCTTCTATTTGTGTCATTCATTAGTCTCTTACAATATTTGCAGACTGTTTTTTTTCCCCGTCTGTTTTCTGCTCACCTTGTGTCTGCACTCCCCCTTCGAAACGAGATCTTTTCTAAAAGCTTCAAAATCTTCACCTGCCTCTGCCATGTCTGTAGGCCTCTCCTCTTCAGCTACTGACGTTGAAAAAGAAAAGCCAAAAGTAGAAAAGAAAAAAAGCAACAACATTTTTGTTGAATCGATTTAAATCATCCATCTTCAGATTTGTAACTTATTGCAAGGTATTGTTGCATCCTTAAGGCCCGTACTGTACATTCCTAAGTGGCTGAATCGTTTTGATTCCTTCTGAAATATTATCACTGCAACCATCAAGACGGGCTAAATAATCCCTAACAGAGAAATCACATCCACAAGAGTGTTGTTGCCAGATCTCAAAAGAGAAACAAGCATCCAGGTTTAAGAAAATAAGTCCAAAATAAGTGACTTGGCCCTAGAAATAGATACATAAGGGCCGTCCCTTATGTATCTATTTGAAGGGCCAAGTCACTTATTTTTAACCAGAGGAAAGGAGTTGAGGGCGGATCTTGCAACATGATAAACTATGGCATTTAACTTTATTGTAGAGAGCTGGTGGAGAAACAGGAAGGGTTCATACAGGGAGTAAGGCGAGACTGACAATATTTGTAAGAGACGAGCCAAAAGTCACTTATACTAAGCGGACTTGGCAACACAGAACACTGTTCTTTGTCTCATTCACTACATACATGTTGAACACACAAGTAGACAGATCAGTGGGTCATGTTAGTGGATTCTCTGAGCCCTACAGTGCCATGGAAAGAGCCCTCAGGACGGATCAATACACTGACCTACCAGTAATAAATATTGATTAGGGCCCAGAGGACTAGAGGATGGTGTACATTTGGCGAGACTAACTTTCGATTCTGCGTTCGGTTTATCAATCATCATGTTAATCCATACGAGATAAAACCTCAATGAATGATGAAAAACAGTGAACACATCAGTGTTGACCTCACCATGACCGTGTGCATCTCATTTTCAGCGACCCCGCTGTACTTCCTGTGACCTCATGATGCTAACAGTTTGACTTTGTACTGTCAGTCATAAAATAGCGAGTGACCCCCTTTATTGCCACAGTAGATATCTTGTTTTAGAGCAAATCTCTCTGGGAGAAATGAGAATCCACTGCTTGGTGATTGCAGAAGATTTGAAGCACCCACTGTTACCTGCAGACTAGCTTTAAAGAAACAAACACCTACACGTCTGTGTGTGTCGGCAAAGTAATTAGACAGCCTGTTGTCATGCTTTAAAGCACAATGAAGGTAGTAAGAAACACAACAGTTATTCCTGCTTTTGTTTTTGTTTGTTTGGTTCCTCGTAAGTCAACACTCAGAGCGCAGCACAGAGCAGCGCCACCGGACAGCTGGAGTCGTGAGACCATGGAGTTCCTGTGGTAATTACAGAATCACATGCCACAGCGCGAGATACAACAATATCTTTTGTATAAAAACAGGTATAATGACAACAACAAACACAAATACGGTCATTGTTCCCAACCAAGCAGCAACCTCAGGTGTTGGAAAAATGAGGCCAATGCGGGAGTGCAAAAATCCTGCAGTCAGTCGAGTGTCCGCTTGACCCGTGCTCAAGGATACGACGGTTTCTGAAGTGACAGGAGTCGTTTAGAATTATGTCATAAAGGCTTGCGGTCCACTTCCTTGTTTGAACACGGTTGAGTTCACTTCTCCTTATCGCTTCCCTGTTGTTGTGTACCCTAGTTTATCTTATTTGATTTTCAGAAACTTCTGCTATTTGTTAAGCTCTGATTTGTCTAAAGACAAATAACAGGCTGCTTCTAAATGTTCCCTTAAACCTTAACTGACTGATTAGATGGTGGCCTCTGACTGATAACAAGAAGGGAAAGCAGCTACCTCATTAAGATACCTGCCTCCTGCGTCTCGTCCTTTTCCTTATTAACCTGCAGCTTTGTTTGCCTTCTCATCACAGACTGGCTCACCTCTCAGAGGAGATGATAAACCCTCTAATCTCACAGCTTCTTCTCTCTGATTTAAGTTTTATAAGGATTTTTGCAATTTAGACGCCCACTGTAGATCCTATTTAAAGGTCAGAGTCTGTAGTCATAGTAACAGACCTATACATCAGCCACTGATCAGTCTGCTTCACTTAGAAAGTACCTTTCTAATTTTTTGTTTGTCATGGTGACTGAAGGCCTTTGCACACTGAGTCCGTTATTTTCGAATGCGTTGTTTGGATCCGTAATCTGAAAAAAGAAAAAGTCACGCAAAGACACCTTGCAAAACTGAATCCGATGCGTTTATTTTTCTATTAATTTTGCTATTAATTAAATAATTGCAGTACGAGAAAAATGGATTCATCAAGCAGTGACGATGATTTTGTGGTTCTTTAACTACTTGAGAAAAGAAAAAGAAAACACAGCAGAAAGATGAGGTGAGTATCTGACTTGCATACGAATGTTTACATGTTTCTAATTTATGAATTCCAAAACCTTTCCCTTTTGTCTTTTTCTTCCTCTTTAGCTTCATTATTTTAGTGTTTCATACGTTTACTTTTCTCACTTTGAGGCTTTTGTGACATTTTGTTTGTCTGGGGTCAAAATTTAGATTTTTGTTTTTATATTTTAATGTTATGACTGATTGTTTTTGTTATTTATTTTTGAAGAGGTGGAATTATAATTGTAAATTTACCTTCAGTGAAATAAGGATTACCACAGAATATAAATACTCTGCTGTTTTATAAAAACATACTTAAGGTACAAGGAAGTTAGGTATCAGCTGCAGCAGTAGGAAGTTTCAAGATTTATTTGATCACAATTTTAGTTGCACACAATCAGGTTGCACGTTAACTTTTCAATTGCTGGTCTTTCAGGCAATAAAAACAAAGTATATATATATGTAAATTACTTTATAAAGGAAGAATACATTTTAAGAAGTACATGTTAACAACAAAGAACCCCTTTAAAATGTAAAGATAAAGACTAATGAATTAAAAATAGCACAAAGACAACATGTCAACTGTTGAAGCTGAGACATTTGAATGTTTTTTTGGAAAACTATGACAATTTAATATTTTATGCTAGTAACACATTTCAAAAAAAGTTGGGACAGGGTCATTATTACCACTCCCCAAAGGATTTACATGGTCAAATGTTTTGTTGTTGTTGTTTTTGTAGCATAATTAAACTGTCTTTTAAATATTTGAAGATTTACTGAACTCTCATGATCATAATAATCCACCAAATTGAGTCCCAACAATTTATATCCAGTAAAAGTTTATTCATAAAGTCATAATGAATAAGTCATAAACGAAACCTGTCATCCAGTAAAAGTTTGAATTCAAACACTTTAGATCCATAACGATCCACATGACTGTTCAAGCTACTCCTCTGACCTTTTGTTGGCACTTCATAACAGCCAATGAAAAGATTTTGTTGAAAAGGAAACGCCTCCCTCTGTTCTGACAGCTAATCACACACGACTGTGCCGCTGACTGACAATTCTTGTAGCCAGGCTCTCCTTGTTCTTATTTTACACTCCAAACATTTTCACTGCAAGGTGACAAGTCACGATTACAGGTAGGGCAGTTTATTGCTCTATTTCCACCAAGCGGTCCGGTACTCATTTGTTGACTTTTCCACTGTCAAAAGTTGGGAACAGTACCAAATAACCGATCTGTACCATCCTACTTTTTTGGTACCCTTCTGTTGGGGTGCCACGCATACCGATAGGGTTGGATCTAGACATACCGCAGTCCACTGATTGGTTAAAAGAACCATCACTTCCCGTCCTTGTGATTTTGTGTTGGTTCTGATACTTCATTGAGGAATTTGGTCTTCAGGTGCCGAGTGTCAAAGTTAGTAAGCTACTTTAGCACGTGGCTATGAACTTGCTCAGGTTATCTAGCGGTTAGCAGCAAGGCGCCCCAGGTTTTTTTTTTTCAGTTGTTTCAGAGCTGATCGATTGAGTCAATTACAACAAAAGGTTATTTCACAGCTAAACTTGTTTGTCTTTCATAAATTACAGATCATAAAACAGCGTAAAGTCATTGATTTTGGCTAATCTTAACCTCGTTATTCTGTTTGTTCGGGATGTAAACAGCATCACCGGCATGGTCGTACAAAAAAACTTAGAACCACTTATAAATGTTTTACTTCTGTGTACTGTATTTCAGGATGCAATGCCCAGCAGAACAACCTAAAAAAAGAGGTTCCCAAACGAGCCCGCAACCCACTTAGAAGATTTGATGAACCAGCTCCTGGCTCACCAAAAGATGACCAAGATGGTAACTATATTGTTATTTCACCGCTCAGCATTTAACTGTTTCATCCAGGAGGGATCTTGATATTAGACTTAACTTGGCATTACCCTGCCCTAAGATATAAATCAATAAATGATGTCCTGTATCAAATCCTGTATTAAAACTATTTCCTTCTTTTTCTTAACTCTGAATACCACTATCTTTAAATAATTCACCTTGTCTGTTATAGGTGGTGACCAACTTAATGCTTTTAAAAGCTTTTTGGAGAGTATTGAGCAACTACGACCTAGAGTTGGTGTTGGTCACCAACACCAACAGAGGCACCATCAGAGGAGTGCCAAAATGCAGTGGCATTTGGGAAACATGGAAAAGTGCCAGAGGGGAAGACAGTCTGGGAGAAGTCAAAAGTGAATGAGATTTTAAGTAAGTATATCACTCATTTTGACCCTTTTTTTCAGTGTGCATACTGTTACGGTTCGGTGAGTAAAACACGGGAGGTGGACCCAAGTGCAGAACCAAAAGAAAGAATTTATTTAAAATAAAGATCAAAATGCCAAAACACGAAAAAAACAAGGAGCCACGAGGAAGCACAGGAGACACTAGCAAACTGACAACTAAGGAACGACATACAGACTACATACCACAACATGCAACAATGAACTGACACGGAGGGGCAGAAACACAGAGACTAAATACACAGGGGAATCAGACACAGGTGAGACTAACAAGACACAGGTGAGAACAATCAGGGCAATCACACAGACAGGAATACAAGAAACAGAGAGGACAACTACAAACTAAATCATGAAACACTAAACACTGAAAAACCAAACCAGAAAAAGACCAAACCATAACACATACTAGAGTAAGGATACCAGTTATTACCTTTGTTATGACAGCAGTGACATAAACAATGACCAGCTGGACACCCAAAACTTTTAAATGCTCTCATTTTTTATTTCCATCCTGCAAATTAGAAAGGATCTCTGAACACATACCAAAATTTGACACACTGTTTATTGCAATGAATTGCAAAATGAAACAAATAATGTGAGAATAAAATATTATTATTATTATATTTATAATCCAGAAGTATATGCTGTTTATTCTGCTCTCTGTCTGTATTTTAAAAATTTCTTACTTATATTTTACAAGGTTGCACAGTAGTGCAGTGGTTAGCACTGTAGCCTCACAGCAAGACAATTCCTTCTAAAATGCCCGTTGGACAGGCCTTTTCCTGTGTGGAGTTTGCATGTTCTCCCTATGCGTGCATGTCCATGCACTCCGGCTTTCTCCCACAGTCCAAATATGTACTCGTTAGAGAAATAGGTATCTTTTAATTTAGCCACAGACATAATTTCATAAGGTAAAAATTACTGATTTTTTCAATTAAATCTGATGGCCTATAGCTATTTCACCTGTTGCTCTCTGCACCATCTAGTCAGAAGTCAGCGGTAATTTGAAAGGCACAAGATATGAAGTTAAAATGAGGAAACTCCAAAGACTGGATTGTCTCTTTGGTAACAACTAAAAACTTCATGAACTTCATGAGTTGACTCCATGAAGAACACTGTTACTGTATTAATCTGTAATTATTTTTTTGTGATTTGTGCTTTCTTTTATTTTTGCAGCTTACGTCATGCACTGTGGCACATGGAAAGGGTGGACACCAGTGGAGAAAGCAAAGGCCAAGAAAGCCCTCAAAAACAAGTGTCGCATGAGGGATAAGGGCTTGAATGTGACACATTGAATGGATATTTTGAGACCATCTAATTAAGAAATGCTGCATGATGTAAAGGACTGGAAATTGTTAATGTTGTGGATTGTTTTCCCATCACCAGATACTGTTCTAAAAGTAGGTGTTTCTGCAAAGAGTCTAGGTTAAAGCTTATATGCAGAACTTGCAGTCTGCATAGATTTTGTGCACATAGCGATATGTTGTTTGTTGATTTTGTTTATTTATACATGTTAAGAATTGTGTTCTGACAAAAAATGTCATCCCATTTATTTGTTACAGTCAAAAGTACCACTCGCTGTGAAGATACATTTATGTTTTGTTCTGACGTTATCCCATAGAAGCAGTAACAGGCACTAAAAATAACAGAAAAAGGCAAACTTGCTGATTGTCTGTTTAGTTTTGTTGGTCACCCAGCTGAAACCTGTTCTTTATAGAAGCATCAGTATTGGTTGATGATGAAAATGAAGACTTGCTTCCTAGTCAGCTGTTTTAATAAAGTATTTGTTATAACATATCAAGTTGTTCGTTTTTATTGAAACAAATGTTGATCATTTGATGTTTATTATGTAGGTTGGAATTTGTAAGGCTGCTTAATTTTAGTAGGCTCATCACAGTCTCTCTTTGTCTCATTATTTTCTCCTTTGGAGATGACAATGAGCCATTAACAAGATATCTGCTTTAAGTCTCAAATAAGACTCCTGTGGCTATAGTCTCAACCATTTCTCCAAGTGAATTTTAGGAGAAACAAAAAAGAAATAAATGAGAAATATTTGAAACTTGAAAGAGGCTGGGATGAGAATCAAATTTTTGTCTCCCGAGATGCAGAAGAGAAAGCCTTGAGCAGTAAAATTTTCCTCTGGGAAGATATAGACCTACTTACATAGCACACTTCAAAGCATATCCAAATTAGCTGTGTTTAAATGTTTGTTTTTTTTATTCTCCATCAGTGCTGCTCAGAGTCAAACCACACTGGAGTCCCTGCAGTGCCACTTCACCTGGGACCTGGACCGCAGCAGGCCAGAACTGTTACGCCTCACGCACAAGATGGAGGACTTCAGCACAGAGGAGGGAAACAAATGGCTGGGCCACATTTACAACCTGTGGGGGTTCATTCAGTATAAGCTGGGGTTAAATGAAGAGGCTAAGAGTTTGTTCCAGAAGGCTGCAGAAACCCTCAACAAGCTAAGAGATGCAGATGAGGGTCCTTGGTTAGTTGTGAACTACGGGAACCTGGCCTGGCTGCACCACCACCTGGGAGATCTAGTAGAGAGTCAGGCTTACCTGTCAAAGATTGATGCCCTGATGGAAAAATACCCATCTCCATCCCAGGACGAGCTCCATCCAGAGATCTACGCTGAAAAGGCCTGGACCCTGATATACTTTGGAAAGGATAGGAAGCTGGTTGTTGATTACTACGAGAAAGCTGCCAGGATGCAGCCGGACATGGTGGAGTGGAACACCGGCTATGTCTTAGCGTTAGTTGATGATCATGAGCATAACCACAACACAAACCTAGACCCTGACCTCTTGGAGAAAATGAGACAAGCCAAGGAACAGGATCCAGAGAACTTGTACCTCGCTGTGCTCTACCTTGAGCAACTTGCTAATAAAAGAGGACCCATTAAAGATGAAGTCTGTGAGTTGGTTGGAAATGTGAGCACTCTGTGGTGCAGTGACAGTGGCATGTGGGCCTTACTAAACCTTTACATAAAATACATATCAGTTGATGATGCCATTGATTTGGCAGAGAAAGTTCTGAAAGAACATCCAGATGTGCGTTATCTGAAGAAATGTGTTGCGCTCTGCTACAGATGGAAGATTATTTATAAAAGCAGAAATTGCCCTGATGACACGGTGGACAGAGCAATCGCTCTCCACGAGGAGTTGCTCTCTCTTTACCCTCATGCTGCATTCAAAAAGGAAACAGATCTCGCATCTATCTATGCAAAGTCAAGTCACAGCAAGGCCAAAGCTGAGCAGATATTTCAGAAGCTGCTCGACAATGAACCTGCAGAACCTGCCGACAAACAGATGCTTTACAACATATATGCAAATCATTTATATTTTAATCGAGAAGACCACCACAGGTCGGTACAGTATCACATGAAGGCAGCAGCAATACCAGAAAAATCCTACTTCCATAACAACAGCATGAGAATCCTGAAGAAGAAAAATTTAGGCAAATTTAGGGGGAACAATTATGTCCAAGCAAAATAAAACAACAACTAATTTTTACAAAGGCGTATTGCTTCCACGTGGTAATAAAGACCAACAGAATCCTGGAGAAGAATGAAAAACAGAAGGGGGGACAATTCTGCCAGGGTGTCCAAAAAATAAGGATAAAAACTGACTAAAAACAAATTTCCTGCCCTTCAAAACTATTGAAGTAAATTAAAGGAAGGTTTATTTTTATTATTTCTTAATTATTTTTATTTTATTTTATTTTATTCGTTTATTTAGAGATAGGACAGTGGATAGAGTTAGAAACAGGGGAGAGAGAGAGAGTTGGGAACGACTTCCTAATTCAGGACGGAGTTCCCTTCATGACATCACAAAGGGCAGTAACCCCTCCCCCAGGTGGGTGACACTCCCACAGCTAGGTGTTTGTTCTGCCCTCTGAGTCTGCCTTCTCCCCGTAAACAATAGGACATGGAACGAGAAAGACTGAGTACACCCAAGCCCTTCCAGAGAGGGGGCGTGGTCAGACACAGCTCATTTACATTTAAAGGTACAGACACAGAAACAGCCTGTTCTGAGCAGGGCTGAAATAGAGGGGTTTATAGGCATGCTCAAATACAGGATCAGAGTGGATTTAGAACAAGAAACTTCACACACATGTTTTAAGGAGCTCTGAGACTTATTTACAGTGGTTAAAGAAGACAATATGTGACCTTTAAATCTTACACCCTAGCTCCTGGTAGGTGTGACGTCCTCTGTAAAACACGGTCGTCATGGTGAATACTTATTGAAGAAATGTGTGAATTGTGATTATCATGTATTTTGCTGCTGTGGTCTTTTTTTCAATGCTGTATTTTCAGTTTTTAGAATTAATGGTTTTTATATGAATGTTCTTCGCTTTGACTATTTAATGTCCTCATTGTTTAGGTGAAAATTTATTTGATGTGTGACCTGAAAATTATATATTGAGATGTACCTTTTTGCACAAGCTGTGTTTAAGCTTTATACCAATAAATGAACATGACGCTAAGAAATCGTCTTAAAGTTGTTTGTTTCAGTGGTTTCACCTCTCCTCCATCGAAAGGCTTCTTCAGTTCTTAACTATCTGGAGGACGGAGCTAGAAATGTAAGCCTCGTCGGATCATTAGCATCCTAATTCTGCTAAAAACTGTCACGCACAAAACGATTTTTAAAAAGTGAAAGCAAATCATGACAGATTAACAGTTCAGCTTTCATAGTGTGTGGTGTGCAAGAGACGACCGACTCAGCACACCACACACTAACCGATTCATTCACCAACAACCAGTCTTGACTATCTAAACGTGTAATCTCTGACTTGCTGTAAAAGTAAACAAACATGATGGTCAAGCTAGATGTGGCTAACTGTACGTTAATTATTGTAAACATTTTGGTCAGTATGATTGTGGTTTGGTATTACAGGACACGTAGAAACACTCTAGTTGTTGCCACAAATCAACAAGTTGGTCTTGAATTTCTGACATCCATCCAACTTTTTGCTGTCGTCGCCTTGGTAATGTTTGATGTGCTTACTGCTTCAGTCAGCTTGCTTCCTGATTGGTGTAAATTCCGTTCCACGGGACAATCCAGAGAGTCCATGCTCAGCCTTCCTCTGTGTTCCTTCCCCACAAGAGGAGTTCTGATGGTAAATATTGAAATCAATCAAAGATTTCAAAATCGTGGCGGACCTGATCGTCTTCGAGCAGATTGGGGTGGGTAAAATCCCTCCCAACACACCACAGAGAGTCTGACAAGATAGTTCGGCCTTTGCTGACTTTGGTCGGAAGGAGGGAATCGGCCCAATTATCTTGCAGTATGTACCCCGCTTAAGGTGCAGGGTGGGCCCCCATTGAAATCCTATTTGCCTTCCCAGGTGCCACCCCAAAATCCA